GGGGCATCGGCACTTGTTGGTTGTGGAGCTTGAAACATCTGTACGCTTGTCGATGTACCCATTTGTTGTTGCAAAACAAGTGTAAGGTATGATATTTAACAGATAAAATGTAAAATCAAAGGAATACCTCGAAAGTTTGTCGAGGTAGTGGTGCTTGATGTCGGAGGAATTGCCAATGACGATCCAAAGAATGATGCTCTTACACCCTCGATGATTAATGTTAATACGGTTTGTGATCAAAGCATGAGTAGAAATAAATAGGGTTGTTACCTTGAATGCCTTGATCGGGGTTGTAGCAAAGCAGACCAATGGAGTGGCCCTAGTTGTAGCCAATTTGGACTTGGAGGTGATGGTCTTTGCACGGGTCTTTCGGTGAGTCAAAGCGACTAAGGTGGGGCGTTGTAGCCGATCGGTGATATCGGGAAATAGTCAAGATCGAAGGGTTTCCACTTTTGCTCATAGATGGTGTTGGGTTGTTAACTTTGTCACGAGAAAGTTAGTTACCGATATATGAAAGGAAAAAGCGAAGGGAGTTAAAAGAAACTTATGCGTCATCGGGAATGGCGTATTCAGTGGTCGATCATGTGCCGATATGTGTGAGCGAGATGTTGCAAACAGTTGTTCCTCCACTCTCGCCACCATTGCTTATATGATTCGGTGATGAAAGATGTGGCGCCCGAGATGGATATATCGACATCCGTAGTATCGGCATCGGGGAGAGTCGCACTACCCCGCTCCAATCATTCGCGGTGATTGTTTCTCTGGGTTTGATCACATCGGCAAAACAAAGTTTGATTGGCAGTTGCCCAAAAGCCAATTGACGGGATACTGTCGATGGATTGTAAAATTCATACGTGATATTGGTGTTTTTCCCGCTACCGAATGTGTTTACTGGGATTGCCCTGGGAGTAATGATGGCCATCATGAGTTCATTATCCTGATTCAGAGTGTCATCGGCAAAGTTGAAAAGAAGGGGGAATCTATTTTCTTCGTCAATATAAGGTACCCAGGCCCTATGATCACGAGAAAGACCATTGTAGAAGCTTTGGAAGAATCTACCGATCTGGTCTTCATTGGCCTCTGTTCTAGGGAGGATAATTATGGCTTCACCAAAATTGAGGGGTGAGCGTGTTGCCGATTCCTCATCCCCAAGCACGTGGTCTTCAGCAATTTCTCGTGGGAATTGTTGGGCAAAGAAGTCCCATTGCAAACGTTTGTGCATATGGGCATTCAGCCACATGTTGATAAACCACCACGGGCCTCCTAAGTTGCCGATGGGTTCGCCAAGCAAAAGTTTCTAAGACACTTGATGAAGAAGATGATAAGTGGAGCTCAGAAGGTATCGGCCAAGAGGGAACCTTACACCATTGGCCAAGAGTTCAGCCGCGGGGAGGAAGGCGTTGGTTGGTCCTACTGATCGACCACAGAAGATAAATTTTTCTAACCACATATTCAAGAATGTGGCATGTTCCGTCTGGTTAACTGTCCCGGTCCTCTGGCATTCTTGAATATATCCCGTCCAACCGCCGATGTTGCGGGTATTCACCATATATTCAGATTTTCTGCCATAGATGGAGCCTTCATCGGCAATTGAAATGTCCAAGCCAGTGAGCATGTAGACATCGGCAAGTGTGGGAGTAGCTGGGCCATGTCCAAACATAAAAGTGTTTGTTGTGTCTGACCAGAAGTAAGCAGCTGCAATCATCATTGACTCGTTCTTTTGCATATCGGCAATGGATAGCCTAATGCATTGGTCTAGCTTCCGTTCTGCCCAGTGTACTTGCATCGACCTGTTGACCCTCAAGTACCAATCTTTCCACCCTTTGGTGGTTTTGGGCCAAGATCGGAATGTATCTTTCCATAAATTCAGAGAGAAATTTTGGGCTCTAAAAGGGATTCTGTTAACCTCTGTATTAATCAGATCAGTTGGATCTGGGTTGCCCATTGGTCCTAGGCATTGGAAATACGACTGATCGGTTGGAATAACTAATTTGTTGCAAAGTTCCTAAGTTTAGAGGATCTGAATAACAAAGAAAAAGAGAAAAATTACCAACTGTATGAACTCGCAAAGACCAGAGGAATCGAGGTAAAAAGTAACGGAAGTGGAACGAACCGCAGGGACGTCGAAGTTGATTGCCATTATCTTGAGGTAGATGGGGGCACGAGCTGGAGACTCGAGGTTGATGCTGGAAAAAAGTTCTTGTTGGTTGAGGTCGCGCAGTTGTTCGTCGGAGTCGTCGCCGGAAAGAGAGAATGCCAAAGATTGGAGTCTGAGGGTAGAAGACGAGCGTTCCGGAGAAATCTATTTACAAGCCGCTTGGAGTAGGGGTATTCTGGACTTATCTCTATGCCGCGCGCATGTGGGTCGAGGTGGTTCAGATGGATATGGTAACTGTTCGCACGATTATCAAGGGATTGTACAGATGATTTGATGGCAAGTAATCATGACTTGGAAGAGATCTCGGTACAGGATATTTTAATTCTGAAAATGGCGGCATTATTATGTTAGGATCTTACCGATGGATTATTGTTTCGGTATCTTAACCATAATCAGGGCAAGAGTGGTTGGAAATTATGCGATATTTACTGAGGTGCGTGAATCAGGACTAGATTTGATTAGATTTGATAACAGATCAAGTTTTGGCTTGGAGGATGAGTTACAGTAATTAGGCGAAGGCAAACGTTATCTGGAGTAAATTTCGGAGCATTAATGGTTTTATACTCCGAAATTGGGGGGCATTTGTTGACACCGTTTTTTGCACGTGTCAAAATGATCAGAGTGGGCTAATCGGCAGGAGGAAAGTTACTGTATATGCTGACAGCCGATGAAAATCAGCTTGTAAAGATGGTTGCCGATGAATGGTGGTGATCGATGGAAAGGTTGATTTAGACTCGGGCGTTGCCGATAAGGTTGGATATGTTATTGTCGATGCCGATGAAGGAAGGCTTGAAAACTACTGCCGATGAAACAGGAAGTATGCCGATGGAAAGGAGGTCGGTGAGAATTCCATCGTAATTGAGGCGGACAGGGAAATAGATAGGAGTTGATTTCCTTTTCTATATTTGTTAGAGTATGATTCATGTAAGAGTCACGTGTTTCCTTAGATATGGACTTGGTGTCCTAGTCGTATTTGGTTATGTCTCTTTAGATCAGGGTATAAATATAGATTGAGGGGCAATGTAATATATATCAATCAATATCAAAACCAATTTTTACTCATATTTGCATCTACTTACTTTTCGGCGACTTCGTCAATTTGCATATTTTTTCTTTTTACGAGTTCTCATTGATTCATCGAGTTGCATCGTTTCAGTGCAACCTTCGGCGATTCTCGAGTTCCGCGTGAGTACCTCTTGGCCATGACTTCCGGGCGTATCGCTGTTGTTAGGACCAAAGTGCTTGTATCTTCATCCTTGTCGATTAACAGGTCAAATCGACTGGCACGCTTTGGATATCGATTCGGGTATTAGCCCTTTGTGTTTGCAGATCCACTTTTGCATCAACAGTAGTTTGTAACGTATTTTATGATGTTCACATAATATATATGTATGTTCATGTAGTAAACATGTGATGTTCTACGGTGTATTTTTTTTATATTCACATGATATATATGTGATGTTCTGGTTTTTTGTGCTGTTCACGTAATATATATATATATAATGTTCATGTAGTATGTTCTGCTGTGTATTTTTTGACGTTCATATAGTATATATGTGATGTTCTATGATGTTCATAAGTTTTGTGATGTTCTATGATGTTCACGTGGTATATATTTTGATGTTATATAATGTGCACGTAATATTTTGTTGATGTTTTCTATTTTTGATATGTTTTTTGTGAGGGTGGAATGTTTTTTCTTAAACTTAAATAGTACGATACAGTTTATAATACTATAAATACTTCATATTTAAAAGAATCATCCACGTAGTATAGTGGTAAAAAATGGTTATCTTTAAATTTTTTTGTCTTGTGTACTATTTTTTTGTTTCTACTTTCTAATATTTTTTCTTCCTCTACTATTGTCTCTGTGCGCTATTTCTTTTGTCTTGTGTTCGACCTCTCCTGCACATACTATTTTTTTGTTTCTATTTTTTTTTCTGTAATATTTTTTCTTCCTCCACTATTGTCTCTGTGCGCTCGCGAGCGCGTGCTCGATTGGAGAGCCAGGACCTACAAATATCGGCTGATTGTAAAAATAAAATAAAATAGCAAAATAAATGGATCGCACAGTAGATAATTATCGTCCACTCTCCCGGCATGTACACTATTCCACCAAAGTCTTGGCTAACAATATTTAACTGCTGATCTCGTTTGCTAGAGTAGCCGTGAAGCTTCCACGTACAGCTGCTAGTATTTTAAAGGCAAAATTGGCTACTAGACACTTAAAGGCCCGTTCTTTTGGAGAAATTTGGAGAAATGTGGAGAAATTTGTGAGAGGAAATCAGCCGTAAACCGTAACTTTCAGTCATGAACAGTACACTTTTTGCACCATCCGAACGGGGCCAAAGTTATCCCTCTTTGCTAGCGGACGTGTAAAATAAAGTAATGAGTAAAATACACCGGAGATCCATTAACTTTCGGTAAAATATCATCTAGGTCTATCAATTTGAAACTGCATTTTTGGGTCCATTAACTTTCGTTTGGTGTGATTTAGGTCCATCAACTTTAAAATTATATTTTTGATCCATAAATTTTTAAAATAGTTCACTGCAGGTCATGCATGCATACATGCACGTCGGCTTCAGCTTCGGGTCTTTGCGCGCGTACACCAGCCACTGACCTCCGGCGGCGGGTACGTGCTCTGTCTGCTCCTCGATCGAGCCCGCCCGGCCGCTTGGTGCATGCGTGCGTGGACCTGCACGGTGCGGAGCGTGTTATCCATGTCGCGCTCGCGCACGGTGCGGATCTTCTGGGACGATCCTGACCTGACGGACTCCTCCGGTGCCTGACGGATTCCTCCGGTGAGGAGGAGTCCTGCGGAGCCCGGAGGATCGGCAGGATGGTGCGTGAGCTGCCGCCCGTGGCAGCAGCAGCAGCAGCGCTAACGGCTGCTCCCGTGCCGGATCAGTGCAACGCCGGGGACGGCGACCGCGGGAGGAGGGTCGTCGGTGTCGCTGGTCCCGGCGTGTGCAGCGGAGCGCGGAGACGGCTGGCCAAGGGTGGCTCCGGCCCGGCGAGCACCAAGTTCAGCGGCGTCCGGAGGCGGCCGTGGGGCAAGTTCGCAGCGGAGATCCGTGACCCGTGGCGCGGCGTGCGCGTGTGGCTCGGCACCTTCGACACCGCGGAGGAGGCCGCGCGCGTCTACGACACCGCAGCCATCCAGCTTCTCCTCCGCCGGCTCCGGGGCCGGCCACCTGCAGGACCCGGCGACCCCCGGCGGATACGAGTCCGGCGCGGAGTCCTCGCTGGCGGTGTCGTCGCCGACGTCCGTGCTCCACAAGGTCCCTTCCCTGTCCTCCCTCGCCGAGGACTCCTCCAAGGACGACTCCGACGCCGCGGCCCCGTGCGAGCCGGCCGCTGCCGAGTGCCGCAGCCTGGCCGTCCTCGAGGAGGAGGAGCTCGGCAAGTTCGTGCCGTTCGAGGACGTGCCGGTCTACGCCACCAGCGGCTTCTGGGACATCGAGCCCGACGCCGGGTTCCTCTACGCCGAGCAGTCGTCGCCGGAGGCGTCGTGGAACGCCGCCGCCGCCGCCGAGCCCGCGGCCACGTCCGATGACGCGCCCAGCTGGGGCGCGTCGTCGCCGATGCAGGAGAACAACGACTACTTCCAGGACCTGCGCGTCCTCTTCCCGCTCAACCCGCTTCCCGCGATTTTCTGAACAGGCGGCGGACGGGGAACGCCGGAACCGGAACGGTGGGCCTCGTTGATTCGTCTACCGGAATGTTTTTTTGGACGTCGAGAGTGTGGTGTGTCCTCCTGTGTCGTGCCTGGGTTGCGTGCACTGTGTACTTGTACGTGTTTTCTTCGAGTAGATGAGAAATGTAACATGCTGCCGATGAGTGAGTACGTAGAGTTTTGAGGTGCTACGAGTTAGTGTATTACTACGTGATGAATGGTTTTTTTAGTACCGTCCAAATTGTGATGCCGAGTATATAGATGCTGATGTACTTGTACTGTCCTACCTGGTATTCCAGTCCCGGCCTTGATTTGGCAACGAGCATGCGCGCATTCCCAATTCCCATTGCTAATTTGGAGTGCTATGGGGGCCGGGTGCTGGGGCGGCTCCGCGGCGTGCGGCCGTGCTTGTGCTTGAAATGGGGAGGCCATGATGCGGCTGTGCGGAAAGTCTGCTTGTTTTGGGTGGCCGGCTGGGTCCCCGCCGTGCCCGCGCGCCATGAGTGGCTCGATCATCCGCCCGATTGAGGAGCAGCCGAAGCCGACGTGCACGTGGAGAACCATTTTAAAAGTTTATAGACCAAAAATGCAGTTTCAAAGTTGATGGACCTAGATGACACCAAACGAAAGTTAATGAACCCAAAAATACAGTTTCAAAGTTGATGGACCTAGATGACACTTCACCGAAAGTTAATGGACCTCCGATGCATTTTACTATAAAATAATTTACTGATGGATACTGTCGTTATTGTCAAATTTGCTCCTAAACAATGTGGCTAATAAAATTTTCATTTCTTACTTCTGATGAGAGAACAGCCGAAAATGTCTTTTTTTCCTCTCTTCTTCGGTTCTTCCTCCTTCCCAGGGTGCGACCACGTTTTGATGGATAGGTCCCTGCATTTCTATGAAACTATTCCATACCCCATATGACTGTTTGGAACTATTCATGTGAGTCATGAGTTTTACGTTTATCTCCCCATCTTTGTTTCTATTTAGTTCCTTACTCCATGCCCAATTCAAGAGCAGAGGACAGCGTCAGAGACACGCGAGGCAAGCGTGCAGGCCGTCGGCGAGGTGCTCCGACACAGCTTGCTGCTCCTCGCGGCTGGACGCGCGCTCTGCGCCACCGCTCGGCCCGCCGCGCCACCGTTCGCACAGACACGGCCGGGGCTCGCACCTCTGCTCCGCTTGGCCCTCGCGTCACCGCTCTCGTTCGGTGCTCCCTCGTGGCCGCGTCTAGCCTCGCCGCGCAGGCGCCGGTGCTCCCTCGTGGCCGCGCCAGCGTCGGTGCTCCCTCGTGGCCGCGCCTGGCCTCGCCGCGCAGGCGTCGGTGCTCCCTTGTGGCCACGCCTGGCCTCGCACCTCCTCGTGGCTGCGGCTAGCCGGGTGGGTCCGCGCCCGCGGCTCCTTCTTGCTCGTCGACGATGGCGACCGGCAGCAGTCTGAAGGGGGCGCGTCTTTCCTGCAGTGCACAGCACACAAGCACAGGCATGGCGGTATGGGCGGCAGCGGCATGGGCGGCCCTCGAGCGTGTTCTGTGTGCCCCGATGCCGTGTCCTGCCCTGCTTGCTCGCGTCCTGTTTGCTCGTCGTCGGTCCGACGCACGGCTGGCTCCAGAGCGGCGGCCCTCGTGCCCACGGTGCAGCCAGGTGAGCTGAGGGAAAAAAAATTGAGGAAGAAGAAGAAGCCAGGGACAAAAAGGATATTTTCTCACTGTTCTCTCCTCGGAAGTAAAAAGTAAATAATTTATTGGTCACAGTGTCTAAAAATAAATTTAACAACAACGACAGTGTCTACACGTAAACTGCTTCACTCTGAATGTGTTGTAGCCAATTTTGCCTATTTTAAAAGCCCGAGCTCGTCCATTCAAAGTCGTACGCGAACAAATAAAAGTGAGTAAGCGACGCATCGTGGGACAGGAAACCACGCAGGTGGGGGACCCTAGCAGCGCCCGGTCGGGGCACTGGAGCCCCCAGCTCCGGGTGTAGATCCGCCAGTATCCATGTGCACACAGCCTAATTTATACTTGTTTGTCCTAATAATTATCAAAGGCAACGATCGAGTGTTCTCGAATGAGCACAAGTTGGCCTGAGTCTCGACAAATGTATTTTTGTAGCTTTCTGAAAGTGCTTCAGCTTTTCCTTAAAATAAAGGAAACGTTGTCGTTCACCAACAGTCCAACACCTTGCGTCCTACTCATCGTTCCCCACGTGATGCAGTGATATTCGTCCTGTTTGTTTGATTCAAAACTATTTTTCAACTATGAAACAGTATTTTTCTCTTATAATATTCCAGCATAAGCATTAACATAAGTCAAATTTCAGCATCAGCGAACAAGATGATTGCTTCTCTGACATTTCTTCGTATTGAAAATTACAGTGCTCCATCCGCTCAACAAACATATAAAAAGTACTAATACCAAATAAATATTACTCTTTTCATTCTTAATTGTAAGTCGTTCTGGCTTTTTTTTAATACATATAGCTTTTGCTATACACTCTATCAAGAAAAGGTAGAATGGCATACAATTTTACATAGAACAAATCAATGTTAATACAGTAATATGACAATAGAAATAGCAATTTGTCCAATTTTAAGAGTTGATAGATCAATGTTAATCTGCAACCTCAAGTTTGATATGAGTAGTGGCACAGCGTTACAATCGCGTGAATCTAGAACTCTTCTAATCTACGATGAGCCCATCCTTCAGAACTATCTTCTCAGGATATTCCCTCCCATTGGCGATCAACAACTCTTCCACTGAACCCCTTTCAAGTCCATACACATAGGCCAAAGACGACCTGGATATCCATCCTAATAGTGCAGCCCACATTGTTCCGAAAGCTATGCTGGAATAACACATCAAAACAGACGGCTAAACAGAAACCAATGAATCAAACTAAAAAAACATGAACCAAACAACTAGATATCTGAACCAAGAAAACATCCAGAACAACACTGAAAAAACAATAATCAAATTGAACTGCAGAGACCAAAAATAGAAAGAGCTTGGGTAGTAACTCACTATAGATCAAGGGGTACAAACATCCTGACCATGATCAAGAATTTAAAACTGAAATAGCTAAACTGAAATTTAAAACTGAAATTACAAAATGAAATTGCAAACCAAAATTAGAAAATGAAATTGCAAATTGAAATTACAAACTAAAACTGCAAAAATGAAATTAAAAACTGAAATTACAAAATGAAATTGCAAGATCCTCGACAGTTCATCACATACGCAACAAAAACCTAGAATCATCCCTACTGTAAGTTAGGGGGTGTTTGGTTGCCCCTCTTAAATTTTAGTCGCTGCCCCATCGAATGTTAGGATACATGCATGGAGTATTAAATATAGATTAATTATAAAACTAATTTCATAGTTTGCGACTAATTTGCGAGACGAATCTTTTAAGTCTAATTAGTCCATGATTTGACAATGTTTTGCTACAGTAAACATGTGCTAATGATGGCTTAATTAGGCTTAAAAAAATAAATCTCGTGAATCTTGACGGATTATGTAATTTATTTTTTATTTATTTTTTATGCAACATCCTCCGACACACCTCCTAAATTTTAGTCATCGGATCCAAACACACCTTACCTTAAATTTTAGTACGGGGGATTTTTTTTGGGGGGTTGTCGGGGTCCGTCAACCTCGACGAAACTTGTAAATCCTTTAGTAAATTACTGTGCAAGCTTAAGAAAATTTGTTATCACATATTGACCCCGATGACCACAACGAGATTTTCGTCTAGATTCGCCACTGTATTACAGCTATTACCTATAAGTAACCCAAAATACCATTATAACCTCGATAAGAGAAAAAATAAATAGAAACATCCTCCATGTTATTTTTTTGTGCAACCATCCATGCATGAGCGACTTGATTTGGATTGGCGCGAACTCAATTTGTCGCGAGGGAATAATTAATGAACCCAAGGGAATAATTAATGAAAAGAGAACCTGAATGACAGCGTCGATTTGGGCAGGAGTCCAATCCGACGAGAGTGTTTCCCTGCACAGGGGATCATGGGAAAGAGTCAAAGAGAGGTGCTCGAAAGCAACTACTGATATTATTCTGTCAATTTAGATGTGTTTTGGACTGGTTTTAGAACATTAGATCTTGCGGCTTGTCCAATGTTTTGGATTGATTGCTAGATTGAGCATATGGACTGCACTCTGGCTTCGGTGTTCGACGAGGTTTGGTTCATCTAGAGCATCTACTGTATCAAGGAAAGCCACGAGGTAAGAAGAAGACGATCGAAAGAATCTGGATAGATACTTTTATTTATTTCAGATTTTTTTCTCCTGTAATTTGAGAACGTACTACGCTGAATTTTAATATAAATCGGTTGGAGTAGTTGACAAAGTACCCACCAGCTGATTGATTTGCAATGGATCGGAGATGGCAACAGCTCCTGCTAGAGATGTTCTGGGGCAAAGATTCCATCTTCAATGACGACGGTTTCACTCTCAATCTGTTGGCTAGAACTTGGAAAATGCACTTGCTCGCATGCTGCAATGCAGAATTTGCACAATATCTTCGGAAGCAAGCACTAGTGACAGGAATCGAGGTTCGACGTGGTGCAGTATCACATTACAGTAACAACAACGGACAGAAATAATCACAAGTGTTTTCTTCAAGAACACGTACGTTGCACAGATGACACACGTCTCCATGAAGGCTGTTCAAAACCTTCGAATTGCTCGCCAGATCGAGACATAAATCTCCAGCAATTCCATCTCTACTCGCAGTCAGCGTTGCTGCTCGTTGCCACGGATGCAACAGACGCCGAGGTTGCGACGCCGGCAGCGGCTCTGGCTTCGATCAGGTCGTCGATGAGGCGCTGCAGATCACGGGACGACGAGCCGCCTTCCGCTACGGCTGCGTGGGCCTTCACGGCGAGATCCCGCGCCCTGCCCCTCGCCGCCTCCCCCGCCCCACCTAACTCCAAGAACTTTCCCACCGCCCGAGCAACGGCCTCCGCCGGCACGAGCTCCCTCTCCTCGTACCTCGTGCTCCGCGCCCCGCTCCAGACCCGCTCCCCGATCCTGAGCACGTCCGTCACCAGCCTCTCCTCGATGAACTGGTCGAACACCAACGGCCACGTCAGCATCGGCACGCCGGCCGCCGCCGCCTCCAGCAGCGAGCTCGACCCGCAGTGCGTCAGGAACGCGCCCACGGCTGGATGGGCCAGTATCGCCGTCTGCGGCGCCCACGCTGTTACCAGCATCCCTCTCTCGCCAACACGCTCAGCCCAGCCGTCCGGCGGCGCCCATCGGTCGGCCCTCACCACCCACAGGAACGGCTTCCCTGAGGCTTCCAAACCCAGTGCCAGCTCCCGGAGCTGATCGCCCGAGATGGCAGCGTAGGTGCCGAAGCACACGTACACCACTGAGCAGCTCGGCTTGGAGTCGAGCCACCTGATGCAGGGAGACTCGCTGATGCCTGCTGCGGCCGGTGGCAACGGCAGTGAGACCGGGCCGACGAAGTAGCCGCGATTCATGGATCCGACGCGCACGCGTGCCTCGCAGTACTCCTGCTCCAGGTCTGCGAACGTGTTGAAGGCGACGCCCAAGCACCTGGCCATCGCCGCGTTGCAAGGATTGAACGTGCCTTGGACGTTCCCTGGTCGTCTCAAGAACTCCGGCAGCTCGCTGACAGGGATCCGTATCTCCGGCCCCGGCAACCCGGGAACGGCAACGTCATGGGACGCAGAGCCGCCGTCACTGACGACGGCGCCGGTGAGGAGCTTCAGGACGAGCCCCGCGAAGGGGCCGATGACATTGAAAACGACGCACGGCAAGTCCAGTTCGGCGGCGATGCTGCTGTTCCAGAAGAAGTGGTAGTCCGTGACGACGGCGTCGGGCACCTGCTCCCTGAGGAGCGCCTCCTGTGCCGGCCGCGAGAGGGCCTCGTCGATGGCAGCGGCGTCGATGCGCCACGCGTCGTCTCCGGCGGTGGAGAGGTTCTCCACGCCCGGAGCGAGGCCGTCCACGCACGGGAATGGGTACGTGACGATCTTGACCGTGCCGCTCGCCGCGGGGCCATGCCGCTCGATGGCCGACCGAACCACTGTGACGTTAGCCGGGGTCACGGCGATGGAGGGCTTGACGGAGCCAGGCCTGGCCGCTGCGAGACGGACGGCGAGGTCGGTGTAGGGGCCGATGTGGCTGGTGGCGAAGAATGGGATCAGAAGTATGCGCGTCTTCTTGCTCTGCTTTTCTGAAGCCATGGCTTGTTACAGGCTTACAGCTCGTGTTGGTTTCACCCTTTGAGAATTGTGGGTTGAGGGGCAACAAGACTGCGAGTGCAGTTTAGCTTTGGTTATGCTTTGTAGCTTCGGACAAGTAGATAAATCAAGCTTGATTTAGATAGGTTCTGCGTGGATCTCGTGGTCAGTAATCAAATAGACGTACTATAGCTTATGTTCATTGACGTGGCATTAATGAAATCTGAGTTTAAACAACTATTTTTTTCACACGGATTCAGTGAATTATTTTTTTCCTTTAGTTCCATAAAGCAGTTTCATCGGTAAATTTAAAGTTGTTTTCAGGAAAATATTTTGTAGAACAGTTTCTTGAGAAAGATAGCATTGAGAAATCAGTAGAAGCTAGTATTTTCAGCTTCACCTTGATTCCTATGCTATGAGAGGAGCTAAAAAACAACTTCCAGTGAGAAGTAGTTTTTAAAAGACCTATTTGGAAAGAGCGAAATAGAAGAATCTTTAACGATAAGCTCGCTATCAAAGTCTAGGAAGATTTAGTGTTGAGATGAAGGGCTTTTGATGGATTTTGTAAAAGGCTAAAAGCATCATCTTTTCGGCTTATTTTAGCTCTTGGGCTCTTTGTGCCTCTTTGCTCTCACAGGCTAGCGCGCGGAGCCTGTCACGTGTCCTTTTAACACTCCTGTAACTAACTGTGTTCCTCTCTTCTTAATTGAAAGGCAGCTCCTGTCATTGCGTAAAAAAAAAAAAAGAAAACACGTCACTCGCAAATTCACATCCATAGAATCTGGCTATGTAACATCCAATGACAACTCTTAGGCCGACCCCATTGGCTATCTACGCTGCTCTCTTTTTCTTTTCTAATTCTCATATGATATACTGCCCAAAAGTGAATGTTTCTGATACATGTTTCTGATATCTTCAGTTCATGAATATGATAGCAGCATCCTTAATCTAAAATTCTTTGTACGGTGTACCGCTGAAAAGTGAATGGTTTCGCTCTGTTCGCTTCTCTTGTAATCCGTTTTTTTCAGCTTGTTTTTTTTCAGCCGGAACAGTATTTTTCTCTCACAACAAATCAGTCGGAACAGTATTTCGGCTTGTTTTTTCAGCGACGCGAACGTATATCTCTAACCTCTTCCACTCATGGCATGGGTACAGTTTAGGCTTCTGATCATTGCTTTTGTTTAATGTTGGTGATATCTCAATGTAATCTACTGCTAAAAAGTGCCTGCAGCGAGGAGTCTTGCAGTCCGGCCGTTTGGACGAAAACAATGCGCCGATAGTTCCCACGCACGGAAGCATGCTGCTGATGAACTATTTTCGACGCCCTACGTCTGGCTAGCCCACTCGCGCGCGGCCCACCTCACCTCTCAGCTGCACATGGCCCAGCCCACGTCTGGACTCTGTGGGTGAGCGTCGCATGAGCACACGCAACGTTAACAAAAAGTAATAATTTAATGGTGTTGTGGCTTTATTGGAAGTTTTTTTTGGAATGCCTTTCATCTGGTATAGCTGTAGCATCTGTTCGTACACACGCACGCTCACTCAACATATGCACATTACTTACACCATCCATATACAAACAAACATATAACTACACCACCGCGTCCTTCTTGAGATCACCAAAATCCATTGATTTCCAGCGCACGGAAGCATGCTGCTGATGAACTATTTTCGATCCCTCATTCGGCATCACACACGAGAGACAGAAATCCTAGAAAAATCCTAGACAACGGTGATTCTGTGGGTGAGTGTCGCATGAGACACACGCAACGTTAACAAAAAGTGCCATTTGCTCGGTCCTCGCTTTATTGGAAGTTGCTCCACCACATGCATGCATGCATGCTGCTGAAAAAGAATAAGTGTATTTAAGCATTTACTAAGTTTTAAAAAAGTCATAACTGCTAAACTAAATATCTAAATTAAATTATGATTACACCATCGTATTTCTTGTAATAAATCCTTCAAAATAAGATTCCACGTGGATATATTTAGATAAAATTTTATAATAAACATTTATCTTGTGAAGATAGAACATATTTTTATTGAGTAGAAGCAATGTTCTAAGTTTAAAAAAATAATGTTCCGCCTTCCTAAGAAAAATATTCTCGATTTAAAAGAACAATTTTAGTTAAAGGTTCATGACACTATAATATCCATAAAAATAATAACAAAAACTATAAATATATAGGAACATTAAATAAATTAATAAATACCATAACATAAATCAACATAATAAAATTTAGAGCAAATAAAAAAAGAAACAAAATAAAATACCATAACTATTTTGGTCGTGATGTAACTCAAACAAAAGCATCACATGAAAAAATAACATAACAAATGCATAGAACAAATCACAAGGAAAAAAATCCACGTAATAGAGGTAAGTTAAAAAGATCATCACATTTAAACAATAAAAAATATACCATAGAACATCTCATGGGAACTCAAAGATAATCGTACATTTATCTTATGAAGATAGAATATTTTTTTAGTGGAAGCAATGTTCTAAGTTCAGAAAAACAATGTTTCGCTTTTATAAGAAAAATGTTCTCGGTAGAAGAATAATATTCTAGTTATAGGTTCATTCAATTGGTATTAAAATATCCATGAAAATAAAAAATAATAACAAAACTATAAATATATAGAAACAATAAATAAATAAATATCATAACATAAATAAAAATAATAAAATTTAGAGCAAAGCAAAAGGGAAGTGACATAGAACATCACATGTACATTATGTGAACATTACAAAAATATATCACAGAACATCATATGTATATTATGTGAACATCACATGCATACTACATTAACATCACATGTATATAGCATGAACATCACAAACACATAATAGAACATGAAATGCATACCAGGTGAACGTACAAAATACAACAAAGAACATCATATGTATACTACATAAATATCATGAAATACATCGTAGAACACGATATGTATACTACATGAACATTACAAAACATATCATAGAACATCGTATGTATACAATGCAAACATTACATAATACATCATAGAACATCATATATACACTACTTCAACAGCCCCAGAAGATACCAAATTACATTATTGAACATCATAGGTATATCACGTGAACATCGCAAAATATATCGTATAACATCACATGTATATTAAGTAAACATAATAGAGTACTTTATAGAACAGTATATGTACATAATGTGACGTTCTATATAGAAAAACTAACAAAGAAATAAACAAAAAAAGAATAAAACATAAAACCAAAAAATAAAACAAATAAAAAATTGATTACAGTAAAAATATAAAACAAATATAAAAAATGAAAGAATAATAATAATTCAAAAAACAAAAACAAAAAAATGAAGCACGGAAAAAAGAATAAAAAATGAAGAAAAGAAAAGACAAGAAAAGAATAATGAAAAATCACATGAAATGAAAATAAAAAATAAATTGAAGCAAGGAAAGAAAAAAATAATAAGGAAACAAAAGGAAAGGAAAGAAAAGAAAATAAAAAGGAAACAAAAAGAAAAAGAAATTAAAGAAAGATAAAAATGTAAAAAATGGAAAGAACAATAAAAAATCACATAAAAAATTAAATAAAAAATACATGAAGCACGAAAAGAAAAAAGAAAAATAAAAAAAGGAAAATAAAAGAAAAAATAATATAAGAAAGAAAACTAAAAGAGAAGCTAGGCCTACCTGGAGTTAAGAAGAGGAGAAATATAATAAAAATGAAAAAAAAAAAGAAGCTAACTACCAGTCTTCCGAGAGTGGTTGGCTGCGCTTCGATTCGTGCAGTGGATGGCTTCGTGCGCTACGTGGGCCGTTGACTCGGTGCGCTACGGGAAGTCGCTGCGGACCCGTATACTCGCCAACGCGCGGGAAGTCGCTGCGGAATCATCGGCGTACTGCTCCAGTCCGAACGTTGGGACCGGCCTCCAAAGTTGCAAGAGTCTCTTGCGGTCGCCACTGACAGCGTCGAGGAGGGAGCACCGCATCCGCCGCAGCTCCAATAATAAGTTGTTCGCTGATCAAACTGCTATTCTCCACGATTACAGTGTCCTTTTCTGAATATGCCTGAGCGATTAAACTGCTATTCTGAATGCGGGACTTATATCAATCAAAAGAACTTCAACGCGATTAAGTTGCTTGGTAAGAAGTAAGGACTATATTGCAACAGGCTACAGGCCGATCAAACTACTGATCTCATCATCTTCATGGTTTGTTGGAAGTGTCTTCTTCTGAATATTTTGGTGCAAATGCCCCATGAATCACCACTACCTCAATTTTTTTTAAACGAATCAGGCAGGAGAGCTGCCGACTATATTAAAAAGAAGATGAGCCTAGACAGGGCAACAACCAACACCAGCAACACGACAACACGAAAGAAACAGAAAAAAATAACTCGAACAGGTTAGATTGGGACATCAACACGCGCCGAACTCAAACTCAAAGAGAAAAACAACTCAAAGCGGTCGGATTGGGACATCGACACGACCTCAACACAGCCGAACACCGCATCGCCTCCAAACCATAGCCGGTCGCCACATTGCATCGCCGTTCCCCGCCAACGAAGGCATCAAGACGAAACATCGTCGTCACCGCTCACGCAATCGTTGTCGACGAAGTCCCACACCGAGGTAGCCCGCTATAAAGCAGAGCTAGTCGTCGCAAGCCGCTGCAAGCTGTGTAGCCTTCCCACAATCGAATCCGCTTGCACCGCCTCTCGTCACGTTGTCCCACGCCGGTCTAGCCACTGCCAAACAAGGCTAACCGCCATAGTCCGCTGCAAGCTGCCAACTCAAGCGTGAGCAGCTACATGTAGCACCGGTTTTAAGAACAAAACCAGATACGCATCATATGTGAGCCCAGAAAGTCAAATCTCACATATAACTATAAATAAGGGTAATATCAAAAGACAATGCTCAATATATAACGTACTTAGTATAAATGATATAACCTTAGACATCAAACAGCGGAAAGACAACTTCGATCTTCGGGTGAAGACTCAA